AATTAGGTATTTTACTTCATGCATATTTAACTAAGTTTAAAGAGTTCACTTACAAATTTATAATCGAATCAATTTATTAGATAACAAATAACTTTTATTGATTAAAGCAAAGAAAGTGACTTATTTTAACAATATCAGATACCGCATGTTTGATTAAGCTTATAAGTAATTAATTTTTTTTCTAATGTATTTTTCACATGTTACTTATTTATACTTATGAGTTTAAAATTTATTTATTTTGACAACGAAATGGATGTTATTATCAAAATAAGTAATATGCTCTATATTTAATTTTATTAGTTAAAAATATATTTGTTAGAACTTTATTATGAGTGTTCAAAAATATATTCCGACGCACTTTGTAATGAACGTCGTGAGTGTAACCTTTTAAACTAAATCTTGTGTAACGTAAAACATCTTTTATGGTCTGAATTTGTTGATAAAAATTAAATTTCAGTCCACCTTAAAATATCTTTCTGACTTCGCCCCTGGAACCTACCTAAAATATCACAAAAAATCGACCCAACTCGACTGGGTCGGTTCGATCCGGTCGGGTTTTGCCCACCTCTACATATTAGTACAAAGGATCAAAGTACAAACGTTATAAATTTTCTAGATTAAAAAATTCCGATAAAATAGTTTGGTACAGAGAAGCAACCATAAACTAAAAAATTGAATCAACTTAGAAAAACATATAACATAAAGAATTGTTAGGGGAATCCACCACAATTTAATCCCGTAATTATCCAATTACTGATTAATTTTCAAACACAAGCGACAAATCAAAATCAATCTAACTCCATAAATTTAGCCATTGTTTGAGCCACATTATTTTCATAATAATGAATTTTTGAATAGTGTATTGATGTGAAATGTGTGGTTAAAATGGAAAGTGAAAGAAACTAATGCTAACGAACGAGGATTCAAATGATTTATATTATCGAAGTTTTGGAATCCACCACAATTTAATCACACAATTATCTAATTATCGATTAATTTTCAAACACAAGTGACAAATCAAAGTCAATCTAACTCCATAAACTTAGCCATTGTTTTAGCCACATTATTTTCATAAAAATGTATTTTTGAATAGCGTATTGATGGGAAATGTGTGTTAAAAAATAAGGAAAAGTTTTACATTTGCATTTAATGTTATTTTAATGACAAATGTGTAGTTAAAATAATGTTTAATCATTATTTATGAATATATTTTTCAAAGAATGTGATTCAAATAGATCCTTAATAGTAAATTCAAAGTTAAATAAGCCCTTTTTTGAGCCCTATTCTATGAAAAAAAAGTACTTTTAAACAATATTTTGATATCATTTCAACCACATATTTCTCAATAAAATAATACTACACACAAATTCAAAAAATTTTCCTATTTTTTAACCACATATTTTCTATCAATAAAATATTCAAAAATACATTCTTCCTCCCAAAATAGGTCTTAAACAAGGGCTTAGTCTCTGTTTAATGTGGATTAAAATAAAAATTTTAGTAGATTTTGAGAAAAGTTCATGAAATGTATGTTTAAAAAATTGTAAATCTCATGATATATAATATATGATTAAAATTAATTTTTAATTTTTACTTAAAATTAAAATTTAGAATTTAATAACTTCAAACGAGGGATAAATATAATTGCGGCCTTTTTGTTTTGATTGTTTGGGATTTTTCCCAATGGCCCAATGGCTCGATATCAATTTCCAGCTTGTAGAGGGCCAAAAATTTGGAATTGACAGAGTCGAGTGTCGACCCAAAATTTATAAATATAGGCTAGTCTACCTAACATGGCTGGTCCATTTACAAAATATTTTTGAGCCTTTAGTCGTCTAGTATCCACTGTTTACATGAAGAAACGAGAAAGGTTGACAATTGGTCATATATAATTATTTGGTGCATTAAAATTAAATTGAACGAAATTAAATTAACCATAGACAAATATGTCATATGACGGCATTTTGCCCAAATCTAGAGATTGAGACTTTCCTTTGAAAGGAGTTAATGAAGAGATATGTATCTTTTGTCGATTGATAGACTAGTTGTCGTTGGAAAAGAATATTGTGTTGCTTTTGAGACTCGCTTCATTGGTATAGAACCTTAACACTAATGGCTTGTTAGAGATTTTTTGAAAATAAATTTTCCTCATAATTATTTTTAACCATAATACTATGAGATTCATAACCTTTATTTACTTTTTAATCATATTATATTTTTTTTTAGTTGGAAGAATCTCTTTTTTAATTAAAAGGTAAAAGTGCATGTTTTAGAAGGTGTGGCATAGTAATAATTTGACGTGTGAAAACGATTGCGTGGAAGATCCATTACGCTATAACTACAAATTAAGTATTTTTTTTATCCATTTGAGAGATGATGGATGATATACTAGTTAACTTTAAAATTAAATTAAAGGCCAGAGACCCAATTTGAAAATTAAACTAAACTGAAGTTCGATGATCTAATTAAGACAAATGAAAGCTATAGTGATTGGTGATGAAATGAGTTATGCTACAGAAACAGGCTGCACACGTGATTGGAGAGTTTGAAAAAAAAAAAAAAAACCAATAACTTATTGCCACATCAGTCTATTTTCTGTTCCCTATTTTTGAACCTGTATGTTTATCATTTTTGTTACTCAAAAGTAGAACTAATGTCGTACTTATTTGGTCTCAATCACTGATCGAGCTACCATATAGTCATCTTTCCTTAAGCCTTGTTGAGCTCTTGTAGCGAGGACTCAACTTTCTATTTGGATGTTTAATGGAATACTCCAAATTAAACTCCTATTAAAAAATTATGTGAAAACGGCCAAAATTTTAATTTTTATCGTAATGAAATTTTTCAGTGATTACGAGGGAGAGAATCCCTTGCAAATTTTTCATCTTCATTATCATCTTTTTGTTGTAGTAATTAATAGTTATTAGGATTGTTAATTAAAAAAGGAAAATTGATAAATATGGGATCCCTGGGTAGATGGAAAGTGCAATATTTGTACACATATTTTGCAAATATTCTTACAGGAAATTAGGGTTCGTTATATAGGATTTTTGAAAAATGAACTTCGTTAGAAAATTCTTTTACGAGAAGTAGAAGAAATAATAAGAATCCTGCCAAACAGACTGTTAGTTTCACGAGTATATTGAATCAGACAAGGGAGATGATTGCATTACAAAGAAATGTCTCAAATGGATGGGAGATAATGACATGATTATGATGGCTTATCCGGTTCCCATTTCATATCTATCTTTGTTTTTGTTTAAATCCATCCAAACTCACTTTGTCAAGTTATCGACTCATTACATTAATTAATTTGACTATTCTTATGTTTAGGCCAACATTAGGGAAATGTATCAGTGTGTTCTCCTAATTAGAAAAAAATAAAATAAAAATAGTGGTGTTATTAAAATATTATTAATGGTCCCTGTTTGAGCCCCATTTTTGGAATTAAAATTTATTTTAAATAGTGTTTTTTGGGAGAATGTGTGATTAGAAAATAAGAAAAAGTTTTACATTTACATGAAAATTTATTTTACAAGAAAATATGTGGTTGAAGATGAATCTTGGATTTACGCGTAAATTTTGCCTAACGATGCCTAGACTTTTGAAACTTCACTTTGCTGCCCTTCAATTCCTCGCGCCTGTTTAAGTCTTGCCCATAGTAAATGGAAAATAAAATATTAATTGAACCATATTTTGCAGCTTCTCTTACAAGGAATTAGTTGCACGAGCTATAGAATTATTCAAGGAAGATGATTGCTTTACAAAAAAATAAAAAATAAAATAAATAAATAAATGTATTAAATAAAATTTATTTAAGATTAATTTTATCTAACATCAGTTTAGATCATTACAATTTATAAGTTCAATTAAATAAGTTATGTGACATTACATTTAAATAAATCGATCATTAAATGATGCTAAACAATATGCCATATTGCGAGCAAGAAGTTTGCCTCCTGATTAATAATTGTTCGTACTTTTGTTTTGAGTTATCACTTCGATCCTCAAGGATATGACGCTCTTGTTTGAACTCCATTTTTGTAAGAAAATACATTTTGAAATAGAGATTTTTTGAAAAATATGTAATTAAAAAATGAGAAAAATATTTCGATTTACGCGTAAAATTATTTTATGGAAGAATGTGATGTTGAAAATGAGTTTTTGAAAAAATGGGAGCCAAACATAGACTTTATTGAATTAGAAACGTGAAAACATTTGAGCTTTAATTAAGTGAAATAAAAATATATAATTAAACTGGGTTTGAAAATTTGAATCATTTTGACATATAGCATAAACTTCAATATTTTTATCGATTGCATAACCACAATTTCTAGGTAAAATTTTGAATTAAAAAAAATTACAAATTACGTAGAAATTACTAGTAATATAATAAAATTGTTTTTTTAATAAGTGTAAGGTTTTGCCCAATTAGTTAAGATTTAATTGCAACAATTGCACAATGAAGGATAACATTATAACGTGATTAAATCTGAAATTATGATACTTTTGTCCAATATTTTTACAAGCAAAACACTAGTAACACCTCCTCAAGATGAACTAGTTTTGAAAGTCGAACTTTTCAATATAGCTAGCTAAGTTCCATATTACGATACAGGTAAAATTATGAACAAACACTTTAAATTTATATAATTAAGTAGCATCACTGGATTTAAAAAAAAAAAAAAATCCATTATTTGAATAATGCTTGCCACACCACTGTATTTAAAAAAAAAAAAAAAAAACTTTTGGGTAATGGATTCAATGATAAATGATTGATTACCAACAAAAATATTAAATTCCTTCGTGTGCTAGAATTTTTATGTTAGGGTTGAAATAGTCAGCATTTCTAATCTGTATCTATTGTCTCCCATCGAATAAAGATGAAAACACAAACCAATTTATAAGGTTTTGGACTATTTATCTTAATAATGTTAACATTTTAAGATGGAACCCTAAGTTTTAATATGGTATTAGAATCCTTTAAATTCCAACGAGCGATTCGATCAGATTAAGACTCAATAAATAAGCATACGAATTTCAAGATTGATATGTTCAAACGAGTCACCATCTTACAGGGATATGTTAAGAGATAAAATCTTATATCAAATAAAGATAGAAACATAAACTAACTTATACAATATTAGGCTACTCATATTAAAAAGGTTGACATTTTAAGATGGAACTTAACTCTCTAACATCTACAACCTTGCCCTATAAATTATGGTGAGATTCACACTGAATTTTTCATCCAATCTTGAAGCATAATTTCCTCTACTTGAGAAAAATGGCTCACTTCAAGATTTTGCTTTTTCTCAGCCTTCTCTTTACTATAGTTCTTGTGTTCTCTTCCAAAGCTTCTGCTGATAATGAGCCTGGGGTTGCCCAAACTCGTGAGTATTGTTCACCAATCTCTCTCTCTCTCTCTCTCTCTCTCTCTCTCTCTCTCTCTCTCTCTATATATATATATATATATATATATTTACACACACACACACACACACACGCACATACATATACATATACACGCACACACGTATCTTTGCACCCCACTTATGGCTTCTTCTGTGATGTTCAATTAATAGTAAGTCGAGGGGGTGGTCAACCTTGGGTCTTAGGTATGGATCGAATCATGATAAGGAAGGTTCAATGGTTGTCCAATTTCCAAGTGGAAATACTATAATATTCAAATTTTTTTTTGGTAGATTAGATAGCATAATGAAGTAATTATTTCATTATACTATTTGTCCAGTTTAGTAGTGCATACCAATCATACTCTAAATTTTCGTCGTAAGTAGTTATACTAATGTTTCTAGACTGTAAATTTTTGTAGAGGGTGGCGAGCAAGTGGACCATCACGGCGGTGGATGGCACTGCCACCGTCCACACTGCAAAGAGGGTGCCGGTGGCGATGAGACTCATCGAGCCAAGACAGAGACTAAATCTGGAGAAATTGAGAGTATTAATCACAGGCCCTAGAAACCCAAATCAAAGCACTGCAAATATTGGCTATATTTATATATTCAAATCTTTGGTAGATTAGATAGCATAATAAAGAGAGTAATTATGTTCATTATACTATTTGTCCCATCTAGCAGTGCATACCAATCATACTCTAAATTTTCATCGTAAGTAATTTACTAATGTTTCTTAACTGTAAATTTTTGTAGAGGGTGGCGAGCAAGTGGACCATCACGGCGGTGGATGGCACTGCCACCATCCACACTGCAAAGAGGGTGCCGGTGGCGATGACACTCATCGAGCCGAGACTGAGACTAAATCTGGAGAAATTAAGAGTACTAATCGCAAGCCCTAGAAACCCAAATCAAAGCACTGCAAATATTGGCCACACTGTTATTAATTTCCTACTTCTTAGTGGGGATACTACATTGAATATTGTAAAAGCAAGCAAACGGTTGCTTTATGTATTTTGTGTGTTTCAAGCAATAAGGCATCTACTGCCATGGTGTGTTAATTAAGCTCATCGCTTGGTTTTATTTACTGTCTCAATATTATGCTTTGTGTTGTGCTTCATGCAAAAGGTTTAATGAAGAAGTTGTTTTTAATTTTAATAAGGTAATCTTTATTTTTTTTCAGTTTTGTAGATGTTTTTGAGCAAGAAATATTGCTTGAACTTTCCCTTTCTTTTGGACTTATTGTCAACCTGATTGTGCTGTCTCGACGCAGTCCTTGACTGGCCACACTGAAACTAATTTTTAATATGAAATTTGCTATTTGTACTTACACGCCGGTGTATATAGCACGGCCCTTTTAATATTATTTCATTCATGTAAAGCATTAACAGATTAAATTGAGGATGATTAGCATAATCCAATCTAGTAAAGTTCATGTTCATATTTAGAAAATGGGACTTGAACATGAAGCTTCACGTACCCTTTTACAATCATAGCCTTAACCATGTACTTAAAACGGCTTACGATAGTGATACTGATTGTGTTAACACTACGGCTTTGAGTAAAAAGGAGAAAATCCTCTTGAGATAAGCATTGTTAAAGGTAAGATGAAGGATTAAAAGAAATTTACAGCAGCTATAACAACTACAATCCCTCATTTCTAACATTGTAGCTGGTTAGAAATTGAAAGCAAAAGCTTTATGTCACGTTTGAGATAAAAAAGTGACTCTCATTTAAAATTGCTACACAGGATAAAAACAGTCAATTTCTAATCTAGTTTCATTTTGATAAATAATATTTTTTCAATATTAAATTCATTACCAATATTCATTAATTTTTCAACTAAATCAGAGCGTACAATTCTGTCATAGCACTTGACGGGAATTTCCACGTGGACAACAACGTTGCAAATGTGGATGATATTTTTCGTCTGAGTAGTGCTCTGTAACACCATTGGTGATTACTATTAGTGCATGTTTTGTTGGAGTTTAAGTTACAATTGAAGTGATTATTAACGATGGATCTTAGGCATATGAGGACAATATCTGGATTGTGTCATACGAAATGTTCAGATAAAAATTATGTTTGACAAAAAGGAATTATAAAATAATCACTTACCAAACCTGACCTTAGATTTTTTGGAAATAAAAAGAGTAAAAATTAATGAAAAAAAATAAGAATATAACAATTATACATGACAAGCAAATTAATTGAATTATTTTGACAAAGCACAAAAATTCCACACTCGTGCAACCTAATGTTGTACGTAAGATTAGAGTTGAATGAGCCCCCACAGGCATGACGCAGTGCGAAAGCAGGGGGTTCTATATGGATTTTAGAAGGTTTGAATCCCCATGTCAGTTGGAAAGTAGTCGTCCCGTGGAGACAAAGTTATAGTAAGCTTTGTCGTCGCTCCGAGGATTCTTTCCGCACGTCGTAAAGGAGGTCTACAGATAGGAGAATGGCATCCCAAATGTCTGGCCCAAATGTTATAAGCTGTAACCGTATTCGGATTTACCTAGGTGGTGAATAAGGGGGAAAGACCGCTACTTCTCAGGATTAGTCAGGCGAAGTTTGGATATCTGAGTTATCAATAATAATAATAATAATAATAATAAGATTAGAGTTGAATGGAACATGACATGATTTTGTTGGGATTGCTAATATAACATCAAAATATACTTCAGTCCAATTAAGATTGAGTTGCAATAGTACAAAATGAAAAATAAAACAATATAATTCGATTAACTTTGAAAGTATGACATTCTGTCCAATACTTTCACAAGCCCAACTATAAAATTATCTTAATATATAAATCTCATAGATAAGTTATACGAGTATTTAGGTTGTTTCGCAAAGCTTTTGACCAAAAAATAATAATAATAATAAATAAATAAATAAATAAAATTGATGAAAGATAATAAAATATGTAGTTAAAAACTTGATGAAAGTTCTGGATCCCATTAAATGTGTGATGGTGAAAATTAATTGTTAATTTAAAATTTTTGTCCTTAACGTTTTGGATTGTACGTACTTGCTGTACAGCAAGACATACAGCCCCCCTCACATGAGGGGGCCCTGTCATGTGAGGGGCGTACAATCAGAATAACCCTAACATTTTAGCAACTCTTTAAACTATTCTAAACAAGCGCTTAATATTTTTGGAAGTTGAATTTTTCAGTAAGGCAAACTCTCCTGCCCTCACGAGTAAAATTTTAAACACTCATTTAAATGTTCATGAATAATTAGCTTCAAATTTACTCCTTTAATTCGATGATCTTGACTGCCGCCTCGCTTCATTTTAAAATATGAATTGATTACATGCATGATTGATAATAAAAAAAAGTATGTAAGAAAATTGTTTTTTGTTGTAAGATTTTGACTCTTGCTTGAAATAGTCAGCAATTTTAATCTATATACAATCATTGGCCTATAAATTATGAAGACATTCATGGTGGCGCTTCTTGTGTAAAAATGGCTCACTTCAAAACTTTACTTGTTCTGAACCTTCTTTTTGCTGTAATTCTCGTCATCTCCGCTCGAAATGAGCCTGGTGTAGCCCAACTTCCTGAGTATTGTTTGTTACGCCTATGAATTATCATTCCATATTGGGCCACCTTATTGGACCCGAGCTAGGCCCATTAGTGTTGGGCCTCAAAGCCGAGGCTCTAAGAAGCCTAGCCGAGGCGCCACCGAGGCCATAAAAGCCTAGCCGAAGTGCCTATCACTTTGCTCACCTCATACTGGGCTCGAACTTAGGCCCATTAACCCGCCTTAGCCCATTTCACATCATTTCTCTATATATATGGATTCAATTCACAAGTTAAGGTATGTTCTAAATACTCTGGCCAAATCCCCCATCTCTCTACTATTGCACTCTATATATTTATTTCTCGTTCGGCCGTTGACTTGACCGTCGGAGTGCAAACGGTCGCCGGACCTTTTTCTCGTCCGGCCGCCTTTGCCTCTTGACGGGGTGCTACATACGCAGGTTTCGAGGGGACGAAGCTAGGGTGCCTGTTGGAGCCATTTTTGGAGGTCAACAGATTGGCGCCGTCTGTGGGAAACGCTACGTTAACCATGTTATACCACATAAAAAAGGATTTTATTTTCCGGTCAGTGTTGTACCAAATGAGCGAAGACATCAACCCAAGAAATGAAGAAAAATGATGGAAGATAGCTACTGACTGAGATACAAAAATCTCCTTGAAAAAGGAAGTTTTTCAATGAACATTTTGGCCATGAAAATGGTCTTGAAAAAGAAGAAAAGGTGCCACGGGAAGCATTTAAAAATTTCTTCATACAGTGAAATTTTTCGGCAAGGAAAGAGGCGTGAAAGAATTCCTTGAAAAAGGAACTTTCCGGCGAAGCACGGGTCAAAAAATTCGTACAATTACAAAAATATATACACACCAAACATCCTCAAAAAAAAAAAGCCCACTTTGTTGCTATACAAATCATTCTACATATTCCACCAACGAATTTCCAAAAATCAGCAGGAGTTTCCTGGTTTCAACCTGAGGACCATCCTATTAAGAATTTTTGAATGTACGATATGGTGGATTAGAATTCCTCTGCCAAGTTGCAGCTTGAAGGTGCTACCGGCGAGGCCACCTGTAGTCTCTGATTATGGTCGTCGAGGCAGTGATAACAGCAACCGACCAGGTGAGTAACTGTCCCAAGTAATCCTCTTGATGAATAAAGAACACATCCGGCACACCGTATCTTCAGCAAAACGGCTCAATCAGATTTTGTTTCTTTCTCCGGCGTGCAACTCGGACCACCAGCTGCTGATTCAGTGCCGTGATCTTGTGGTAAGCAGATATGGGGGGAGAAAAGATATATTAGCATCGAGCCTTGCGCTTTTTAATTTTTGGAAAGACGTATGGAAGTATGGAACACGCCAATGTCAACTCATGCAACTTGCTGGTTTTTGTCCAATTGCTTTGCTGATTAGTCAACTTTATTATCACAAAAAGACAATTGGAATTTAATTATTCTGGGACAATCTGATTTGGAGTAAAGAATCGGCCTCTTGGAGGAATGTGGGCCAATATTTGGGCCACATATATTTCATTTTACTCTTGGTACATGGAATCATCATTGGGCTTACGTCTTTATTTAATCCAATGGATTATAAATTAGGCATATTGGGTACTATTAGTCTGACTACTAGATTTGTTTCCACGGAACAATTGCTGCCCTAATCTTTGATTGGGCTTAAACCCGATTTTCTTCGCATGGGGCCACTTCAGGGGAGTCATCTTCTTCAAGTTCGGCACATCTTCGTGATTCTCTTCTCCCCACTTGAGCTACCGCTTGTTATTAAAAATTGGGCTGATTAAATTCTCTTCTAAATCTCTTAAGGCATGCTGGATCTTCAACTTTTCTGAAGAAAGAATGTTGAACTGATTTATGAGGCAACCCCCAGAAGATCATACTCGGCCAATTCTTGATTAGGCAAACTTGTTCACATTATGGCACTTGAATTATTCAAGCATACCGAAGTCCTCGTTCCTTGAATAAAGGAAGAGGCGATATATTATAAGTCCTCACTCCTTGAATAAAGGAAGAGGCAATATGTTTGAAGTCTTTGTTCCTTGAATAAAGGACGAGTAAAGCTGTCAGACGTGTAAGCCCTTGCAAAAGGAGCCTTTCCTGACCTCACTCATGGGATGCTTACTCCTCGCCTCATTATTATCGAACTTAGCTCTAAGTCCTCGTCTATCCGAGGCCAGCTTATAAGACTTCAATAGTTCAACTCTTTGCCAGACCTATGCTCCCTCGCTTCGCGGGATGTCTTTTGCTCGCCTTACTATCGTCGAGCATTAGCTCTAAGTCCTCGTCTACCCGAGGCCACCTTATAAGACTCCGATAGTTTGGCAATTCATCAGAGGTTTATTCGTAGCTCCACAAGATGAGTATTCATTGCCTCAATATCACCGAGCTTAGCTCTATGTCCTCGTTTATCTGAGGCCGGCTTATAAGATTCCGACAGTTCGACAGTTCATTAGATATTTATTCATCGCTTTGCGAGATGTCTTTTCCTCACTTCGCAGCATTGTCGAGCCTTACTCTAGGTCTTCGTCATTCCGAGGCAAGTCACTAAGCCTCTGATAGTTCGAGACTTATTCGCGAGACGTCTATCTCCCGCCTCACCA